CATTATTGCTGGAAAATATGTCATAAAATGTGATTTAAATTTTATTTTGTTTTGATATAATTTTCTAAATTCATCATTGTACTTATTTGTGAAATGTTACAATTGATCATGAGTAATACTATTGATTGTATTTGTAAAACATAATGAGAAAATGTCCATACAAGTTAAAACCGTTTTTTTATATTGTAGAAAGTCCGATGAATTCAGCAGCTTTTTGAGAATGAAAGGCAACTTAATAAATAAGTAAAATGTCTGCATTGATGTAAGCGGCATTCCCCAATTGTTTTGCTTTTTTAGTTCATCTGCTGTTAGATCGAGGTGTGGCTTTGTATTTAGTTCAATTTCATCGTATGGAGACTGATTAACTTTCCGATAAAATCCATTCAATGTGAAGTAACCTTTTGTTATACAGAAGTCCAAAAATGTGTTGGGATGATTAGGAAGCACATTCTTAAAATAATACATGAAAAGTTACTTCCAGATATATGTTTAAATTTCTAAAATTTTCTCCGATTTTTTATCTATTCTTTTCAAGTGTTATACGAATGAAAGTTACAAAAAAACCCTGCAATTATTTTGGTTTTCTTCTTTTGCATAGTAGGACATGATTGAATAGAAAAAAAGTATATCAATACTGTTCCAAAGAAAACAACTTACATCATGGCTTTACTACTCTAAAAGTTCTTTGTAGTCTGCTGGAACTTTTCGAATTTTTAAATCTTTGAAATAGATATATCTCATCACATAAGCAATTCTCTCGTTTCCTATGAAAAAATATAATCTATAGTATGAGTTATCACAACTTTTAAGTCGTTATTTTACCTCTAACAAAGTGTGCATTACATCATATACCTGATCAAACAAACTTCTATTATTATATTTTTAGATAAATAATTAAAAAACTGACTACGACCTCGAATAAGTTCTAAGTCGTCACAACTGAAAAAAAATGTTTTCAAGGTAAGAGTAAATTTTTCTAACATACCATTCTCTATATTGAGCTAAAGTAATAGTTTGAAAATCATGGCAAATGTCTTGCTCTAAATCCTTGCGTTGAATGTCACACAGATGACAAACATGTGTTGCAGCGACACTTTCTTTGAATTCGTTTAGAGATATTTGAGCCGAGTAAGCATAAGATATAGGATACGTTTTTCAAACACTTTGAGAGTTCTTCACTTAAATCTTTCGCCGTATTCTTAATATCTATTGACGTGTTCTTGAGATCTTCGCCTCCTTGAGCATCTTTCAGTGGATAACCTTTCTGACTACTTGGATGTATCATTTGCACGTCATTATATTCTTCCTGTTCATCATGTCGTATATCTTCATCATGTGATTCTTTCTCCTTATGGAAATGCAATCAACTAAAAATTAGTGATAAATATATTTCTTAAATCAAAAAGAAAACAAAGTCTCACTGCGCTTGAAGATTTCGAAGGCTGCTGAAAGAACCATCATATGAGTAAATACGATGGATATTTTTGTTGCGACTGTGCAGATCACATCGATGTTTTACATATATTGATAGAGTATTAAAATCGATTTTACAAATACAACAGTGCATAGCTAATCTGAAAATAATAATTCATGTCTATTTCTGTCCTTTAGATGAAGATTATATTTGGATATCAAGGTTCTAAAACAATAGTTATTGAAACTGATTATAATCCAATTATTGACAAAATTACTGAATATTTTTTTTTCTTCTACAATATTCCAATTCATTATCAAAATCGCTTCGTTATTCCTTCGTCTTAGCACTTACTGAAAAATTCTCAACATTAAACTATTTGATTAAAGATATTGATGGGGAAATGGACCGAGCACCACGCGTAAGTTTTTTCAACATATGTAAACAGCCAATAAAAGCTCTCTATATGAAGACTACTTTCTTTTACTCGTAGCGCACAATCTCATAACTGCTGTCTCCAACATCGAAAAGATCAAGATTATCCACTATTGATTCAAGTACCAACGAGGAAACAACAAGAAAACAAGCGGAAACTGATAGAACACTGCAATGTTATGAAAATAGTGAGTTTATGCAAAATCGTAACGAAAAGAATCGATCATTTGTACACTGGATAAATATCCGACAGCTAAAGCGAAAAAAAATTATTATTTCTTTTCGTTCCTGCACGAATTAATCAGAATAATCCACATACCTGATGACAAAAATATCAAGAGCTGTTTCACGAAGAAGCAGTAAGTAATTTTTTATATTTAGTCTATTGTTCTCTTAATTAGTTGATTTCATTGTCATTTTAATTTCTGTTGTAGTTTTGTTGTTAAATATTTGTTAATGAAAAACAATCATGTTCATATGAAGAACTTCAAAGGGAAGCTCGAATAATACTTGATGATATTATTCGTAAATATTCAATTCGACATGAACATCAAATGAGTATCTTTCTTTTACCAGTTGTCTATTTTTGATTAAGTTTTTCTCCATGTAGATGAGTGAAGCTGATTTTTTGGGCAATACAAAGTTTATACGAAGATCTTCGTGAACAACATGTATTCTTTAAAGTAAAGAACTTTCAAATTTTTAAATTACAAGTCTCAATTTTGTTTTCATTTAGACTGGTTTAATTGATCTTCATCCTATAATGGCAATTTTGATAATGCCGTCAGATGTTACAGGTTTTGAAAAAGTCTTTATGTTCGTCAGAGATCCGCCCTACAAAATGCTTGTGGCTATTGGAATTGGTAGTCTTCATAAAATATTGGCACTTCTTGTTATCACGTACATGAATCTCAATCATTGGCCTAATCAAAAATTGCTTGAAATACTGATCGCAAAAATGCAAAAAAAAAAGTTGAACTATATAATAGTATAACTCTAATTATACTAAGATTTTTGTGTTTGTGCCATTTTTCTATATACATGTGTTTTTTTTTTGTATTTATCTAATCTTGTAAGATGTCTCAATTGGATTTATAACTATATAGATGAAACTCAATAATTTATTGTTCATCAATTTCTGATATAATACTTTGTCATTTATTTGCCTTCTAGATTATATTAAGATTGTCGATATTATCTTGGTAGAAGTATATTTTATAATTACAACATTCTTAAAGAACATTTCGAAGTAAAGTATAATGGAATGTAATTTAAATTAGGCTCAGTACCAAGATTTAACCTGACACACAATACAGAATAAGATAGACTTTAAATGCTTATCTGATTTTTAACTTCAAAGTTTGAAAAAATCCCTTCTCGTAAATGCTTTGTTAATTTCCACTTGCAGACTTCGAGCAATTAGAAATAGCTCTAAGTGTCTTGATTAAACAAACGAGTTGTCTTGCTTATATATTTCATGTGTCTTCATTTTTTAGAGTGCACTGTATTGTTTTTTTCCTTTTGATTCATTGTATTTGTATTTGAAATAAAGAAGGTAATATAATAATACGAGGAGTCATCACAGAGCAACTAACAAGCCTGTTGTGTAGTGTCCTGCGGAAACAGCATTTTTGTTCCCGTTCCCGTGGTGTTTTCAGAGATCTTATTACTATTTAATTTTTCATGTTTGAGAAAAGCTACCATTACGAGACACTAGCTTCTGTCAACATCATAGACTTCGCACAGCATAAGCTGGTCTTTACTCCCAAGAAAAATTGTCGCTGGAAATGCATTTTAGTAACATGAGTCAATAGTTCTTTATATGTCAAAATTTAGTAACATTAAGTTAAGAGAATCATTTTCTTCATCAACTGAACAATTGAGAAGAGAAAAAAGACTAGTACACCAACGATATTGATGGAAAAACGAAAAAATTCAAGAAAAGGTAATAATAATGCTATGTCACGAGATAATCTGAAAAATACTCCTTTCCAAGGTGATAATCACAAAGAAAATAATAGTTGTTATCACTGAATTACATTCTAATGTATAATGAATGATTTTTGGAGAATACTCATTTTTAATATCATTCTTGCAGGACACTAATTAGTAGTTAGCTTCATTCCGATTGTGTATTCATTACAAAGGAGTAACTCTTTATGTAGGCGCTGGAGCAGGTTTTTTTCATCATTGCTCTCTTATTCATTATTGGGACAGAGATAAAAAATGTAGCCGGGTAAAAGTGATCAGAAAGAAAAAAAGAAAAGAAGCATTGATATTCTATTCCTTTTCCTTTCTATTAGTCCGATACAATGGTATATCCTATTTTCACTTTTTGAATTTTTAGATCCGCTGACAAAATCAAACGAAAACTGTATAAGAAAAGAAAGAAATGAATTTCGAATCATTAGCAAATGAGCTACTACTTGATATATTCGAATTTCTATCCACCGCTCAACTTCTTCAATCACTCTATGGGCTTAATCATCGCTTTGATATGCTCCTTGTTGATCACATTTGTGTTCGTGGACTTGACTTACGATCGGTATCAAAACATGACATTGATACTCTTTGTCAACAATACCTTCCATCGATTGCCAATCGAATCACTAAACTTTATCTCTCCGATGGTGAGAATTCACGACAAACAGCTCGTTTCGTTGCCCAAAATTTTATTCTTCGTCAATTTACTCATTTACGAACACTTAACTTGTATGATTTGAATTCTGTCACGACAATAAATAAAATGATATTAGATTGTTGTCATCTATCTCATCTCACTTATCTTCGATTGGACAATTGTTACTTTCCATGTAACCAGACTGATGTAGCTAACATTGTAAACATCATTTGGAGTTTACCCAAACTGATCTATTGCTATCTGGATATTGATTCTCGTGATGATATTGAATTTTCTGTGCCAAAAATAATTTCTTTATCGCTTGAATATCTGATCATCCCGAATATGAGTTGTCGTCTGAGTGAATTAGCTCATCTGATCGTATGTACACCACGTCTTCAATATCTTTCTGCATGTTTCACATACGATTCTGATAATAGAACCTATCCGCCAATTATTTCGTCAATAATTCACTTCGATACATGGCTTATTGCTGTAGAGAAAAATGAAATAGTAAACATTTTAGTACATATGCCTAATTTATGCAATTTGACAGTTCAAACAATTAACGATATTTCTGTTGATGGACGCCAATGGGAACAAATTATTCGTAGTCATTTAATCAAACTCAAACGATTTCGACTAAAATTAACAAGAAAGCTTGTGAACAATGAAAATTGGCAACAATATGTCGATGAACTTATTAGTTCATTTCAAAGTCGATTTTGGCTTGAAGAACGTCGTTGGTTTGTTCAATGTGATTGGGATCCTGATGTTGCTGCAATTTATCTATACACTTTGCCTTATGCTTTTGATCGTTTTACAGCACATTTTCCTCTCATATTCAAATCGACTTGTCCTCATAATAAATGTCATTGTTCCTATGATCGTGTACATCGACTTAAATACATATCTTCTCTATCTGAAGACTTCAATCAGTGTCATATTAGCTTTTCTAACGTTCAAGATCTTACTATTTATCTTCCTATCAATGATTATTTGTGGATGATCGTTCCAAATTTCCATCAATTGACCTCACTTTGTGTGGCATGGTATAATTATGATAAAGATTTTCCAAGTCAATTACAATTACTGCTTGATCGAGCAACTCGTCTCTATTCGCTAAGCATGGAAACATGGCGATCGTACCCTACACAAATGGCACCATTCGAAATTACCCATGCTTCAATTCGAAGACTCGATTTTTACAACTATCATTATCATTATAATAATGAAGAATGTACCATATTGAGTCACTCACCATTAGGAATGCAGTGTGAAGTACTTCGTATCTCGGTTGACAATCGAACATGTATATTGGATCTTGTTAACAAAATGGCTAATCTTCATCAATTGATAGTTCAGTGTCGAGATGACAAGCATACGGAACAATTAACAGCGAGTTCAGATGAACTCGTCGAATGGCTGCAACATCAATTACCATCGACATATTTGATCACAAGAAACATTCGTTTAGCAAATGAAATTCACTTGTGGGTTTCTTAATATAGAAATTCTTTAAAAGACTGTACAGCTACAAGTTTCAATAAATTTAAGACTTACACCAATCCACATCCTTGTCTCAAGCATTTTATCTATGAAACAAAGACAACCCATAGGAACACAGTTACTAGCATGGGAATACTCCTCCTTTTTGATGTTTTTGTTACGAAGCTCAGCAGTAAGAGCCCTTGTCAAAACAAGATTGGAGACTTTTGTCATGTGGTTGACTTTCTCCATGGTTTTTGGTCAAAATCATCCCGTAGGATTCTATCGGATCCAATGAAATCCGACTGAATCCTATTTGAAGTTTACGAATATCACAACCAGATTATGTTAACTGTATTCTATCAATGTCTGTTATCTCGATGTTTTCTGTCAGTTGGACCGAACTGAGGACATACTATCGAAGAATCGAATTACTTGTTCTAGAATAACTACCTTCCGATAGTAGAATTCGAATCTTTTATAGAAGCTTAATATTAGAATGTTTGAGCTCATGTGAATAATTGCTCGTTGGTAATTGAGTACAGTATTATTTTATGTCTGTATTTGGCCGCGTTATAATAAATGCATCCTGCGAAGTGTGAGATCAATAAAATGAAATTACTTACCGAATAGCAGTCTATTCTAAAACGTGTTTGCTATGAGATGCAAATAGTGAGTGTAGCGCATACATATTGCGTTTGTCTTTTTATCTTTAATAACTCTCATTTTTCTCGGAAAATAAGTTTGTGTGCTTTTAACATTCTGAGGGTGACATAAAAACCTGCTGATTAAATCAAAAAAATTCTGTTCGAGTTCTGCTATTTTTTTCTATGGAGTATTCTGCTTGCTTTATTTAGTATCTAGTGTTGTTCTATTTTGTGAATGAATAAAGTAAAAAAGGGTTGATTGAAAATTCTCGCGCATGTCCTGTTTTGTCATCTCCAGTTGGAAATGGACATTTAGCGTTATCTCAAAAAGTAACTATCTTGCATTTTTCAGAATATTTATGTGCGTTACGCTTAAGCCATATATCCTTACTCTTGAAAGGAATTGTGAATGTCCAGTCCTACGCTTAACACACTCGCATGTCCAAGATACTACAATATTCTTTCTACGGCATAAATAAGCGGCATCGTCATTTTTTGAGTGTCATTCTTCAATATATTTTTTGTATATCCTCTTCTCTTCTCCATTTTCTTAAATGATTGTTCACAAACAAATATTTAACTTATGCATTGAATTCTAATGTAACTTCAGAAAAGTACAAGAAATGATGCCAAAATATTCATTCGAATAACATTTCAAGAAAATATTGGCATGATTGGTCCTATTCATGCTATTGTATGTCTTATATTAAATGAATTTCTTAAAGCTGAAGGTGAATTGAATCAATCTTTAGAATTATGTACATACAGAGAGTATTATGTTCGAAATGATGCTTGCTATTTTCTTTTGAATTTATCATGATATAGATTTGTTGAAAATAATAAATAGGTCGATATTCATGTAGATATCATTGAAAGACACGAATTCAAGTAAGATATCGTTTTCTAACAAAGGTTTAGAGAGTTTTACAATTCCAGATGTTTAATCAATGTATAAATTCTGAATGTATGATTGAATGTTGCATTCCTTCTTTTCAACATTATAGTTATTATCAGCTTATATCGCAAAACCGGATCATTTCTAGCAGTAAACCGTGATTCATCGGTAATTTTACTGTCTTGTTATATCTTGTCATAAGATAGTCCTTAATTTTTCCTGGGGGACTCTTTAAAAATAACATAAAAAATTATTCAGATATCGTAACATATTTTGCCACAGACAAGACTATCCATCGCGAATCCAAAGCGTTGTGAATGTGTCTTTTTTGTGGAGAAAACCTAAAATAATAATTAGTCTATTTATTTACTACTCGAGATAGCTTAATTTTACCACACAAACCGATTCAAAAACACAAACATATAAAAAAAGAATGGAATACATCAAATTTTTTTCAATGCTTATATTAACATGACATTTTTTAACATTTTCTATCATATGTTCTACAAATATTATTCTAAAATAATGATAGATAAACATATTTTTCAATTGTTTTCTTCCATTGTTCTGATGTTATCTTCGTTTTCTGTTATGCGTTGTCATTCGGTATTATATGTACCTAGTGTACGAATTCTTTCCTTTCTGTGTATTATACGAGTGAAGATGGCGATAGAACGAAAAAAAAGATATATATACACGTATGTCTGTGTGTGTCTGTTGCATCAATTATTCTTTCATGTGCTTCATTAAAGAATAGAAACAAATTACATCGGTAAGTCAATTAATTTATGCTGAGCAAATTAGTTTTTTAAAAATGCGTAAAAAATAATCAAATTCAATGAAAGAATTTTTCAGAAAATCAGATGCTAGAAATCCAAGACAGCCAGTTTACGAACAACAGATACTGGAAAAAAACAGATGCAAGACATGAAAAATCAAATATGAGATTATTTCTTCATTGATTTGAAAACTTCTGTATGCAAGGTAATACGATCATGGGTTTCAGGAATTTAGTATTTTACGGTGTGGGTGTGGGCGTGGGTCTGATTGTGTGGAATGGATGTGAGTGTCGGTGTCGATGTGGTTGTGGCTGTGAATGTTGGTATGGGTGTGTGGGTGTGGTCGAAGAGAAGATCCACCTCCACCCACATACACGTCCTCACACCCACACAACTACACCTACATCTGCCACACATCCACATCCACGGTTTCTGTATGTGTTGTCTTTGTATTTAAACGATTGTAATCATTTTTTTTTGTTTATAACAGATTGATTCTCTTAACAATTCGTTTATAGTTACCCATTCATCTTATTGACATTGAGGGTATGGATGTGCGTTACTTGTTTCACATCGATACTCATACCCTCGTATTGTTAGAATATGAAATTCATTTTGTTCAATGGTCTCATTTCTTACACTCAGTTTTACGTTCAAAATTGGAAATGTTTCGATTTGAAGATTGAAAACAACAAGAAGGATAGAACCACGAGCTCTAATTTATAATTTCATTAACGTTTTTTGCATTCCAGAAAATGCCAACGTTTTGAAAATTTTGTACATGGATTTGCGTGTTGGTATGTTCGTCTCATTCGTATCCTCAATATTAATGGTAAATGTTGCATATTTCATAGGAAACAAACCAAGATGTTCTTTACGTCGTTGTTCACTACTGCCGGCTATAAACATTGATGAACACATGTATTTAGCTGCTTATCCACTAATGATAGGTAATAACACCGGGCAATAATGAATGCCGTAAGCAAACAGCACAATGGTTACAAAAAATAATATTCCTTGCATAAGCGTTCTTGTAAAGCCCTAACTAGAATTATATGCTGTTTCTTTCTGTAAAATAATGTACAATACTTTGTTCTACAGGTGGTAACTTTTAATACCAACGGTTTTGTACTTAGATTTTGTTGCATGTTTCTTTAACTCGATTTAATGTTTTTGTAGCTGTTGTCGAACGTAAAATACAGAAGAAAAAAAAAATTAATTAATTCTGGGTAAAAGTAAAATTAACTTTCATAAACATCATCATTAAATGTATGCTTCTCTTTCTTTTCAAACTTCTTAGTTTTTAAACCGAATAAAAGCACTTTGAAACAAATCTATTTTTCATCGTTTCCTAAATTTAAGAAGTCAGATTTCAAAGTTTTGAGCTAATAGAAAGTATCAGGAGTTCATGCTTATTAATGTGCAAGTGTTATTTGATTCTAATTTCATGAAATAAAAGTGGTGAAACCACCACTCATCTTTTAATTAAAAAAATTGATGTATAAGATGTTTGTCTTATGAACGAGATGTGATGAGACGTGTCCGCCTCATCCTACACAGAGTCGTGATCTTCATATAACATGTAATTTCATCGAAATAAAATAGAAAACTACAAGAGCACATAGGTTTTTACGTTAAACGTTGGGCCTAGTCCGACGCGTCTCGCTCTCAGTCGAATCAAATGGTCGAGTCGAGCGGTGTATTTCGGGTCTTGGTTCTGGTCCATTGTTTTCCGATATTGCTCTTCTTGTTCTCGATAAGTTTCCGGTAAAAAGATTCTTGAGGCGTTGCACGAGATCAGGTATTCTGGCTGCCACATCATCAGGTTGAACATTTTCCCATTTAAAATATGGAATACTTGCGATGACCATAGCAAGCCAACTGCTTGGTTGCCAATTGGATTTAGTCATAATAGGAATTATCTTTTTCCCACATCTTTGTGCGAAGCAGAGCTCTGTGCGACACGCGCTTGAATTTTGATATGCAGATGTTGGAAAACAAATAAAAACCCAAGCTTTTTCTATAGCATCCGCTATACTAGAATGAAAAGCATTAAATGAATTCAACGCATGAGATTCATTATCAATCATATATACTTTGTTTCTTCGTGATAATCTATCATGTCATCCGTCCAAACGTTTCCTCCGGCATCAGTTAAAATATCAGCAACTTTATTGATCAGAGGTTTATCATCATTTTCATACGATAGAAAGATGTATTTGTCCGGAGGTCCCAATGATCTGAAAGCATAACATTTCTCTCATATAAGTTTCCTGATAGCTTTTTTAATCGACTGTCTATCAGTGTTTATGGCATTCTAAATAATCAATATACTAAATCATAATAAAGCTGATCTTTTCAGACTCGGTCTGTAGTTAATGCAAAATGATCATCCCAAAACATATATTAATCGAGCACATAGACAACAACTTTCTATTGAAGAGGAAAAAGGGATTGTGAACAGACAGCGAAAGCCAGGCAACAAAAAAAATGAATATTTTTGATAAAACATTTTTAAACAAAGCTCTTCTAATATAAAATGAATATTCGTTTTGTAGCGAGCTTAAAGTTACCCCATCTTTCCTGACTCAAAATTTTTGGTTTTTTGGTTTTTGATCTTCTGAGTCCATTATATACTCTTAAGTGGTATCTATCTGCTGATTACATTTTGGAACCCGGATATTAGCTTTAAACTTA